ACCTCTGGTTATCGCACGTAATAATTTCTCCATAACTAAAGGGAAAAAATAAAGAAAAGAATGTAGAAGTTCAGTTCAATCATTGATTTTGCAATAAAAAAATGTTTTTTTTTTTTTTTTGAATGGATATCTACCCGCTGCGACCTCTAGCTTGTAAAGTGCTTGGCGGTGTGACTAATCCTCGACTGAGCTGGAAGAGGCACCCATTGGAATAACCTCCTGGCCCGCGCCTTATTTGTGTCCCATTGAAGAAGCGCTACCACTGAGGGGAATTGAACACGAGTTGGAGGTACTCCAACCGTCACTCAACCACCACCTTCTATCTGAAATCATGAATAAGAGTTATGTACAAAGAGGCAGGTAACTTAAACTAATTTTCTTTAACCAGTATACATTTATGTCTATCGCCAATCATTCTCTAAACAAGTTTGTTCTCAAGTAGGTCATACAAGTTGAAGCAGTCTCCAATCCCTGTTCTTTAATAAATATGCATGCTTGTTATAAAATAACAACTCTGTTTTAAAATTTAGGTTTTGTTTGAGACAGCTTTCTCAATACTTCTTAAAGTAACTTTAGTACAAAAGTTAAAATTTTTCTAAAATACTGTGGTAAGAAGCAAAAATTAGCCGTTCCAAACAAACCCTTATTTTAAGGATGTTCATAAATTTATACATATTTAAGTCTTATCATTTTCTGCAATTAATTTAATTGTCCAATGAAGATACCATCTAAATAATATCAATTAATATAATCTCTTTTTTACATTTACTTTTTAGAAACTACTTTGCATTTCACACATGTTTGTTCATTGCATCAAAGTCATTATCATTAAGATGTACTTCTATCATTCAATCATGCACACGAAAACATAAATCAATTTTAATTTATATTCTCCGTATCATTTACACTGATATAAAATAAGCATTATGATGGTGAAATAGATGGGGATATTGTCAGTAGAATTCAAGTTGGATGGTTGAAGTGGAGGAATGCATCGGGTTTGTTATGTGATAGAAATGTACACCTTAAATTTAGGGAAAAATTCTATAAGATATAGTGGAGGCCTGCAATGCTTTATGGTGCCGAATGTTGGCCATTAAAAGAGAAGCATAATACTAAGTTAAAGTGTGGCAGAGATGAGGATGCTCAGGTGGATGAGTGGCTTTACCCTTAGAGATAGGATACGAAATGAGCATATACGTGAAAAGTTGGAGTGCTCCAGTAGAATATAAGATTAGAGAGAGTCGCCTTAGATGGTTTGTCACATAAAACGACGGCCTTCCGATGACGGCCGTTAGCGAGAAGTAGAGGTATATGAATTTGACTTATGTTAAGAAAGGTAGGGGTAGACCTAAAAAGACTTGGTTAGAAAATATTAGGAATGACCTTTCTTTATTAGATTTTAAAAGAGAAATTTGATTTTTAATATGAACGATGGAGAAAAAGGATTCATGTAGCGCGACCCCACGTAGTGGGATAAAGGCTTGATGTTGTTGTTGTTGTTATAAAAATAAGCATTATGTAACATAATAAGGGCAAATTATTGCGTCAGGTGTCCGGATTCGTCCGTACACCAATCCAGCCGCGTCATGTCAGCAAAATATACCGAGGCCCAGTATATTTGGGTGGATGTGGCGCATCCGGATTGATTGTCCGGACGTTAGGTGACCGGACGCAATAATTCGCCCATAATAAGTGACCTCACTATCATATAAACTTCATATCCTTCAAGTCAAACATGAATAATTTCTTTTAATAGACATAATTCACATGACTTTAATACTAAGTAATTAAATAATAATAATACTTGTTGCATTATATTTAAAAGAAACAAATATCATTATTGTAAAGTAAATCATCAATAGTCATCTTGGATTATGTAATTAACATTTGCCCCTAGCTTTTTGTCCCTTCAATTGCCAAAAGCTGATCACCCATACTTGCACGTATAAGATTTATTTTTTTATTGTAAATTTTATATCTAAATATTTATTTTAGTAATGTCTCTCTTTAATTAGTCTCTTAAAAGTTCTCATTAATACTAAAATTTGTATTTAAATATTTAAGTTATTTCTAAAGTTATTTCATTACTTAAAATAGCAAATTTTATATAAATATATTTTTTACTGTCTGTGTCATAAATTTATTGCAAATCATTTAAAAATATATAAAAAATAATAATTAATTATTATTATTTTCTAATATAAAATTTCTTCATTTTTATAATTTATACATTTAACAAACTCTTTAATTAGCTTATTAAATGTACTTTTTTTTTTTACAAATTATTCTTAACTCAGAATTTTTTTTGAGTCTTATGAATCTTTTATAATCATTTATTTATAAAATAAAAATACTAATCATTTTATTTCATCCTTTGACAAGATTTTTTGTTGCATCCTTTGAGTCTCATAAATATGCAAAATATCATGTGTTAATTCAGAGTGCTTCATCAGACGACCCATATGAATTTCATTAATCATAGATCATTCATCAAGCATTTAAGTATCTTAGTCATGTCAGAATGAATCAATCTTGGGCTTGTTGGGTTCGTCTTGTCGAGACGCTCGACTAAACTACAAGCTTGTCATATTTGTATATCATTTTGTTATCCAATTAATGCTTTGGAGATTCCAAATATGCTCAAATACTTTGGTTTTCGCTCATTTGGGCTCGGATTGAGCCTATTTTTGTGTCATTGGGTTTGTCTTATTGAGATGTTTAATTTGGCCATAAGCTTCTTGACATTGGAGTCTAGATGATCATGTATTAATTTTTGTAAGTTGTCAACCTGAATATGCCTCGGGATTTTAAAAACTGAAAACCTCCATATCGATATCTCCTTTCTTTTCTATCAAAGAAATATAAGAAGGCTGAGATTTAACAAAAGATCGAGTATATTGAGAAGAAATTTCCTCCCAAGGTGTCTATTAAGATGGTTCCTATTGAAGAAAGTAAGAGAGTTCTTGACTTAAAATTTCCAACTTTTTTAGATCTTACAATTTGACATTTGAAGTGATAAGATGACTCACTGATTTGACTGTCCGTAGAGTTTTTAGTTTCTTCGACTAAATTATAAGCTTGCAAGGCCTTTTTTTTTTGGAACTGGGGTATCGACCCGATGCCGTGTCAGCTTGTGACGTGTTTGACGGTGTCCACTAGTCTCTCGGCGAGTCTGCTGGCAACCAGCCTCACAGGTGCAGGAACCACAGTTCTTTTCTCTCCACTTAAGGAGTCGCGCCGTATGAGAGGGGATTCGAACTTGGGATGGAGGGTTCCCAACCAAGCACACCCACCAACCCACCTAAGCCCGATGGGGTAGCTTCCATGGCCTTAAATACACATCAAAACACAACTATGAAAATGTGTAAACAAAGATTATTTTAATGTTCTTTTCTAAACTTTTTCATGCATTAAATATTGATTCAAGTTTCATTTATACTAACAAATTACTTACTGAATGGCTTTAATAATTCAACTACTCCCTTACCTGATCTCCACAATGCATAGCAGAACCAAAGAAGAAATGAAGAGTGGGAACAAGTTTGATTTCTCCAAGAAAAGGAACATCATTCATCTAGTGGGGGAAGAACAAATTTGCAATATATAATGTTGATGTATGAAATTAGGGTGTCAAAAATGGGTTGTGGGTCGGGTTCGGGTTTCGTGACCCGTTGATATCGACATGATTTGAACCCGCCCCATTTTCGCAAACATATCAGATTTTATAACTCGGATCCGACACGCCAAAAAATTGGGTCGACCCGAACCAACACGAATGACTCGGGGTAGGCAAAAATTGCTATCAAACACGCTGATTAGTCTTATTTTCGGTAAAGAAGGGTCAATCTCGGATTTTCGGTTGAACAATTGGTCATTCTGGTGTTTCCAAGTAAAAAAACGGGTGAAAAATTAGCCATTCTAGAGTTTTCAGGTCAATCCGAACCTAACCCGATTTTTGAAACTGGTCGATTTATTGAACCTGAGCCCGACCTGTTCACTTTCGAGTTCACCCTTACCCGAAATTTTCGTGCTAGAATTGGGTCAAATTTTTGGACCATGTTAAATGTTGACACCCCCACATGAAATTAGTTAAGACCTAGTTTTGGTCATGCAAATAAGCATTAATCATGTATATTTAAATTTCTTCTGGGACAATTTTTTTATAATTTTTTACAGCAATTTTTAGTATAAAATTTCAAATTCAAATAATTTTATACAAACAAACTGATTTATAAAGAAGCAAGAAAATTATCTCGAATGAAACCTTAACATCTCTTTAAGGTGATGTTGAATGTATATCTTTGAGATAATTTAATGGGCCAAATCTTATTAATTGCTTCGAATTACCCTTATCAAGTTGCTTCATATAAACTATTAATTTTATATATGGGTAAATCATCAAAGAACTATAAATATATTTTAAAAAACATATATTAATAAAATTTTAATTTTATTTACAACTTGTTCAAATATAAAAAAGAATTTATAAATTTATTCTACAATCAAATAAAAAATATATTATATTTAATTTATGCAGTATTTATAATAATTAAAATAAGTGGCCCCTTCATCCTTCAACAGAACTATGTTTTAAATAAATATCTAATTAATGAATAATAAGAAATTAGCAATAACTTTTCCAACGGTAACCACCGTTGCAGTTCATGTCCCATGCCGCCACAATTGCAGCAGCATCTGCTATCGCCGACCAACAGCAGACAGAGATATTAGGCGAATTATTTCCTGCAACGTAGCAAATGTTTGATGTTTTGCCACGTGGCACTATCGTGCCCAATTCGAGCCAGCGGCAAGCAGTACAAATGCAGGACAAGCCGAGCAGGTAGTGGCACTTCTGTAATTATTTATAGCAATCTGATCCCATTCGATAGTAAAAATAAAAAACTCCCTATTTTTTATGTCAGCAGGCTCGCACTTCCATCGCTAAGAGGATTGTAGGTCTGCCTCTCTGTTGTCGCGACTTGATGGCACTTCTGATATTTTTATGAATGCTGAGGGTATTCATATGACAGCTTTCTACCTATAAAGTGCACGGCGGCGAGGCGGCGGGTGGTGCGGTGTCGCACTTGTTCTGTGTTTACTTCGCCGGAAACGGAGTCTCTTAAGATCGAGAACCGGCCTCTTCTCCACTTCTATGATCCCAGTAAATTTTAATCTAATAGCATATTTCCTATATTTCGATCAATTATGGTTTTATTAATCCAATTATGTACTGGTAAACATGCAGCATCGTTATGGCTGGAGAAGTTTAGATCCAGTAATGGCGGTTTAATGCGAGCTCGATCTGCGTGGTTCGAGACCGGAGATGATAGAGGTCACAGTTAATTCATACTCCCTATATAAGTAGCTGCCTCGATTTTGTATTATCGAAGGAGAAGAAGAATTGCAGGCCCATCTGTCGAGATTCTGAAACCCTAGTTGGCTAGTTCTCCGCGGTGCGCTGTTAAACGAGTTTTAATTTGGCTTCTGTACTGCTGATCCTACTCGTAAATAAACTCACACAAAAATGTGGAGTTGACTGATTGTATGTTATCTACCGCATTTCTTACGAAAATACCGCCTACTCTACTGTATATAATATAAAATAAACGTTCATTTTTAACTGTTGGGCAGTACATAGAGTAGCCATAATGGAGCAGGAGTGGCGGAGCGCTGTTCACTGTGAGCAAGCAGCGCAAGGCTCAGCTATTCAGGCAGGCTTAGAATGACAACGCAGGTAAAAGCAGCGGGTTGCTGACACCTCGTTGACGACCCACTTTTTCTCACCTTCCTTTGCATTCCTCATCAATGCAGTAGGCCACGGTGAAAGTTGAAACCCTAAACGCCTTCCCTGACTTTTCCATATAAAGAACCAGGAAAAAGTGAAAGCCAAAAGACAAAGGCAAAGTTGTTCTGCCAGAGGATTAGTAGGTGAGTTGAGTAAAAATCTTAAAATCCTAGATCCCTCGAACAACGAGGGGCATGAGAGAGGGATGGAGAAGAACGGGATCCACTCAAGCAAGCGGTTCAGGAGGGACGAGGAAAATGGAGACGTGAAAGGGGCCGGCGGCCTCCGACCATGGCAGAATGCTTCGTCGCGGATTATTAGGGTTTCTCGCGTTTCCGGTGGAAAGGACCGACATAGCAAAGTGTGGACAGCGAAGGGGCTGCGAGATCGCCGTGTGCGTCTCTCAGTCTCCACCGCCATCCAGTTCTACGACCTCCAAGACCGCCTTGGGTATGACCAGCCCAGCAAAGCCGTGGACTGGCTCATTAAGGCTGCTGACGCTGCCATTTCCGACCTCCCTGAACTTGATGGCAACACATTTCCGTTGCCACCTGCTATGGTTTTTCCCGGGCACATCAATCATCCAGATGGATCATCGGCCATTGACCAGCAGATATCGCCGTCCAAGTCAACATGCAGCAGCGCTTCGGAGACGAGTAAGGGATCGACACTGTCACTTTCGAGGTGCCAGACGAGAGCGACTGCCCGGGAAAGGACATCAAAAGAGAAGGAGAACGAGCTGGATGCAGCTGCCCATCAGCATCCAAATCTGACCACGCCCAGCTCTTTCACTGAGCTGCTTACCGCAGGCTCCACCACTGAAGTGGCCGGTTGCGGCACTGGTTTTGGCCTGAAGCAGCTGAGGCCACAGTTAGCAACGTCCACCGCTGATTATTTTGGTCAAGCTGGGATCTTTGGGCAGGCACACAAAATTCCTCAATTGACGCCAGGATATTCTTCGATGCTGCATGTAGGAAACAACACTCATATGGGAATGGGGATGATGTCATACAATGCTGCTGCTGTGGGAGAGCATCAGGATACGCAACAGTATTCTTTTATGCAGGATCACGTAATTCCTGTGGCAGCCGTGGCGCCTGGGGTAGATTATGACCTTAACGTCTCCGTTTCTTCTGTATTTACTGGATTTAATAGGGGGACCCTTCAGTCCAATTCTCCGCATCATCACCACCTTGTTGATGGTGCAAACTTGCCTTTCTTCTTCGGTTCTTCTCTTCCAATTGCAGCAGCAGAGGGAGCCTCCTCAGAGAACCAGTATCTTGGTGGTTTCAATGGTCGTCTGCAGGTTTTCTGTAACGAGGCACATAGGCACCCCAAACTGAAAGGGGAAGGAAAGGATCGACGTCCTCAATGAACCTAAATAATGTTTCTGCTCACTGGTAGCTTTTCTTTTCAGTCAATTCTATTATCAGCTTTTATATCTATAGTACTTTATGCTCACTTTTGACTGGTGAAGTTATTTCATCATTAATTTACTAGCATTACGTTTTGCATGTCTTTTAGCAATCCTCTCAGATTTTCATTGATATTGAAAATGAATGTGAGCAAATATTATATGAATTGATTGTTAGCATCATTAAAGAGAAAAAAGGCATGAAAATGAATTGATTGTTCTTAATTGTAGAGCTGACTTCCTTTTTTTAATCGAAGTATGTTTTCATAAATGGTAAGAATGACATTGCATCATTATGTGTTAGTGATAGGAAGTGGATGCAATTTTAGCAAAACCAGTGAAATGCATAAGAAATTTAGGAAGAAGAAGACCAAGAACTCTTTTTTTATTGAAAGAACTAAGAAAAAAAATACAAAATGCTATTGGATCTTCAATTGGAGAGGAAGATCCGGTTCTCCCAAATCCCTACCCATCGGTTGGAGCCCACTCAATCTATGCAAAATTAATTACAGCAAAATCAAACATAATATGAAATCACCCTATTGTTAGCCTCCCTAATTCTCTCCCAAATTAGCCCCATTTTTATAAATAATTCCCTCTTAGATTTGAATTCAAAGTAGATCTATTTTCATAATTATATCACTCCCAATTGTAATTAAAAATTTTCTAAACAATTCCCTTTTGATTCCTTCTTATATAATGAATATTCACTCCTCTGGGTTTTTGTTAAATAAATTCCTCTTAGATTTGAAATTCAAATTGGATTTCTTTCCCAACTAATTCCCTTCCAATTATAATTAAAGCTTTCCTAAACAATACCCCATTTATCTTCTTGCCTGCCACCCACCCTTGTGGGGCCCATCAACTCAACCGACGGTCCATTAATACTCCCTTCCCGAGGCGCCACCTTATCCTCAAGGTGGAATGAAGGAAACTATTGTTGAAACACTAGACTAATAGTAGTGGACTAGAAAATGGATTGGTACTGTGTCAAACGATCCCTGCCCCGAGCATCTCCTTGATAAATCTCTCAATCTCTTCATTTTGGATTTGGGGATGACGGTACAAACGGACACTAATAGGTGAGACTCATTCCTTCAAGGTGATAGCATGCTAGTGTTCTCGTGAAGGAGGCAAACCCTGAATTTGCTGAACACCCCTCGATACTGCTGTAGAGGTGGCTGAATCATTTCTGGTGCTTTTATCTTCTCCCCAACGTTTTCTCCTTTTAAACTCCGCTGCTCTACCAAAAATCCTACTCCACCCTTCTCCTCCTTGGAAGTGGCTCCAAAAGTGACATCAGCTTTTCTTGCACCAAAATTTTTAGCTCATGATCTTCCCCTGTCCTTATCAAATTAAGGTTTCCTCCAATCACTTGGCCGCCAAGGCCTCCACCCACTTCCGATGATGTCATTTTGGTTTGGAACTCGAGTATCTTCCTCATCATCACCTCCATTATAACAAACTTCCCATCGATCTTGATGTAAAAGGTACAGGCAAGGATGAGTAAATTAAGGAGTTTGCACGCTTAATATTTAGAGCACAATAATTATAAACTTTATGTTAATGTTGAACGACAAAAGAAAACACAAAGAGCGGTAAGACAAGCTTAGGCCGAATCACGCATGTAAAAGTTGATCATAAAACAATCAAGTTAATCTAACATTGCGTACATGAATGGTTTTCAACGTAAATCCCTAAACTAACAATGAGATTAGGCACTATACATGAGTCCCCCACTCAACTCTCTAGTTCTCTAAGCTTTAGCGGTGGAGAGTTTGACATGAACTTTGTGAGTCAAAATATAACCACAATTGAAAATAAACTAGGAAAATAGGAAACTTGGGGAAGAGTTCACCATAGTCAAGTTCGTAGGTCTTGTTTTAGGTGCACAGAGGAAGTTCCGAATTGTGGCGGTTGATCTTGGCGAAGTTCTGTGGGTGGGCAGCCAATGGAGTCTTCCGGGCAACAAATGGGAGTATGCCGGATGGCAAAACAGCATTAGAAGGCTGTTGGATTCTCTGGACAGCAGGAGAACAAAACTGGGACAGCAACTTCCAAGTTTGTGGGTGGGCAGGCTGACATGCCAAACGTCCAGAATTCTCTGGACAGAAAGGAGGCTGGTCTTGGGTTGATTCTGGACAGCAACGTTGCTGTTCTGAAGTTTTGGACAGCAATTAGAAGCTGTCCAGAAATCTGGACAGCCAGTTGGCTAGGAAAAATTCCAAGATTTCCTCCTTCTGGATGCACGTGAGCTGGAAGGATTTGGTGGGGAAATCCGTGGACAACAGTTGAGGGAAACAAGAGTTAATTCCCTTTGAATTAGGCCTAGGTTTGGAAAGAAAATTAATTGGAGAGGAGGAATTTAGAAAACTGAAATTAATTTCAGCTTCAAGTGGTTTTGGAGGGAGATTAATTTGAAATTTCAAATTAATTCAATAATAGCTATGGGTATTAATGGAGGAGGTAATTAGGGGCTGATTTAGTGGAGCCATTAATGTAATTTGGAGAGAAAGAGTTGGCCCATTAAGGGGGGCCGGCTACATAAAGAGGAGAGAGGGGCTTGTGTTTTGAATAAGTGGGGACCACCAATTTAATTTCAGATTTTTACAAAAATCTGAAATAAATTTTCAGTTTTCTTAAGGAGAGAAAACTTCCATTCAGGAGGGCAATCAATTTAAACAATTTGAATTTCAAATTCGAAGTTGAAAATCAATTAAATTGATGGCGTAAATTAAGGAGCTAAATTAGGAAACAATTAATGGCTCATGACAATTTAAAATTTCAAAATTTGAAACTCCATGGAAGGGGCGGCCGGCGACTAGAGGAAGGGCAAGGGGTGGGTCAATAGACACGATCGTAGCCGTTGATCCTCGATGTCCTCATCAGATCTACTCATGAATGGCTTGAAATTATTTTTTGAAATCTGAAATCTTTTTTAGAGAATCAGATTTCAATTGTTTGATCTGCCCTTTCAGCAATTCTACTTTCTTCCCGCTATAGATACTCAGATTTAGGCTCCAAATAACAAAAGAAATAACAAAAAATGGTGAATATGGTCTTCCAACAACAAAAAATAGTAAGATGGAGAGAACAAACACAACAAAAATCAGCCATGAAGATTTATGTTTTAGCCGAGGACATAGCTCTGATACCAATTTGATAAAAAATGGATGCAATTTCAGCAAAACCAGAGAATGACATAAGAAATATAGGAAGAAGAAGACTCAAGAGCTCTTTTTTATTGAAAAAAAACTAAGAGAAAAAACACAAGATGCAGTTGGATCTTTAATTGGCGAGGAAGATCCAACTCTCCCAAATCCCTAATCGTCGGCTAGAGCCCACTCAATTTAAGCAAAACTAATTTCAGCAAAATCAAGCATAATCTGTGTTAATTTGAGAGGTACGAGAGGGAAAAAGCTTGAGATTTATTGCCTGAATTCTTCCCTATATATTGATATATACAATATATTTAATAAGGAAACAAATAACTATACAATAATGAAATATAACTCTTCCTAAATCAGCTGCCCATCTATGGAAGGTGTTTCAACGTGATTCATGATTTCTTCCCACAGATTGCTCTCTGTGACCGTTAGATCCTTTGCGCAGGGAACGATTGGATTTCAACACTCCCCCTCAAGTTGAGAAATATGAATATGTCATTCCCAGCTTGTCAATCATTCTAAGAAAGGCAGAACTGTCCAGTCTTTTGATAAGAATGTCTGCAAGTTGATCCTTTGATGATACATGGTCGATACTTACTAGACCACTATCTAGTTTTTCTTTAATGAAATGTCTGTCCACTTCTATGTGTTTGGTCCTGTCATGCTGGACTGGATTGTGGGCTATGCTGATTGCTAATTTGTTGTCACAGTTTAGCTTCATGGGCTCATCCCACTTGACCTTTAAGTCTTCTAGGATTATTTTGATCCATAGTAGCTCACATATTTTCGAAGCCATAGCTCGATATTCTGCTTTTGCACTAGATCTTGCCCCTACATTCTGTTTCTTGCTTCTCCATGTAATTAGGTTACCTCCAAGAAATGTGCAGTATCCAGAGGTAAATCTTCTATCAACAGGTGATCCTGCATAGTCAGCATCCGTGTATACTTTTAGGGTTATTCTGCGATCTCTCTTAAAGAGAATCCCTTTTCTTGGGTTTCCTTTAAGGTAGTGTAATATCCTGTCAACCGCTTGCATGTGGACTTGCTTTGAATTTTGCATAAACTGACTGACCATGCTTACAACAAATGCTATATTTGGTATAGTGTGGGAAAGATAGATTAATTTCCCTATCAATCTCTGGTAGGCCCCTTTATCCACATCTGGATCCTCTCTAGCTTCCCCCAGTTTAATATTAGGTTCTACTGGTGCGGGCTTACAGGCTAGTTTCTCTGTTTTTTTCAGAAGATCTTTAATGTACTTTTGTTGAGAGATGAAGATTCCTCTGCTGGAATGAGCTACTTCGATTCCAAGAAAGTATTTTAGTCTACCAAGTTCTTTGATGTCAAATTCCTTGGTAAGATTTTTCCTTAGACTATCTTTCTCCTTTACATTATTTCCAGTCAAGATAATATCGTCCACACACACTAGCAATATTGTGACTCCCCCTGAGTCTGAATGTTTAAAGAATAGTGTATGACCCCCTTGGCTTTGTTTATACCTGTTAAGGAGCATAAACTTAGAGAACCTTCCAAACCAGGCCCTTGGTGATTGTTTGAGCCTATATAGGGTCTTTTTTAATCTGCACATTTTGTCACCTTCAGATTTTTTCTTGAAGCTTGGTGGTATTTTCATAAATATCTCTTCCTCTAGAACCCCATGCAAGACTGCATTTTTCACATCCAATTGTTCCAGATGCCAGTTGTACTTCACTGCTAGTGGAAGTAGTATTCTGACAGTGTTCATCTTAGCTACAGGTGCAAAGGTTTCTTGATAGTCAATGCCATATGTTTGAGTGTACCCTTTTGCCACTAGTCTTGC